CGCACGCAATGCAGTCAAAATCTTAATGCTAGATACGAATTGCGTTCCACAAATTATGGCAAATTTGCAAATGAAATTTGCCAGAGCCGAATTGATAATAGATGTGTTGCTTTTCCACACTCGTGAGCTCCGTCCACCGAAGGAGAACAAGCCAGAAACAATCGTCGATTTCGCAATGAGGTTCAAAATATCTGCGCCACCATAAAAGCCTCATCGCTAAGGAATCATCTTAATAATCCTGAGCTAAACCACGATTTGGTCTCAAAACTTCTAGGTATTCTGCCCGCGTACTGGGGTCATTGATTGCGGATACTGAAGATCTGGCAACCTCGTCGCTGTAATGATGTGGGATGTATTATCACCGATTGCTTGCCCACCATCCGTACTACTGTCACCTATCAACTGTTAGCACCGTGCTAGCGTGAACAGTTTCTTTTCGATTTGGAGCTCGACGAGAACGACTAAATTTTTGAACTAGGTGTCATTTAATGCTATTTACTCAATAAAGTTTACTTAAATTGGAAAACTTCTACATTATTATTCGACTCAGTTGACTTAAATTATCGGTACCATTGTCAGGTAACACTACTTTTTATTTAAAGTGGCGTTTTTATTTTTACTCTCTGACGTCAGGAATTATTTTAAAGGACTTTGTACTTTCATACATTGATTAATTCCAAAAATTATTTAAAAAATTCAGTGGAATGTAGAATAAAAATATGGGTAGTAAATGCAAGAGAAAATTTCTTTAGAATTAAAATAAATTAAATTTTTTTGGATTCACAAGGACGAATAGGTAATTTTTTTAAGCTGATAAAGTTAGAAGGATGAAAGTCGAGGATGTTATCGAGTCTATATAAGTCCTTAACATATAATTTTTTCAAAAACAAATATTTCGAGATTTCAAGGATAAAATTTTAAAAGGATATTTTAATTACTTACCAGTCCTTCTGCACCAAAAACTTGAATCTGTTTAAATTCTACAGGACCTCCGCTTTAATTTGATACCCATACGTGTTCTCTAAGCACATTTCTCTGAATTTTTTAAATCAACTTTGAATTACTGACGTCAGAGTGAAAAACTAAAAACGCAGTTTTACTATATTTGGCCTATGGTTTCGCGAACATATTGATATTTGTGTTTAAAATTTACTATCGTGCGGTGTTTTAGAAATATAGCCAATACTGGTCAAGAAAAGGAGTTTCTATTATTGCCATGAGTGGAAATTACAAACCCCGAAAATCCCGGGATTATTTGCCAAGAATGTCTCGATTTTTGGCCACAAAAATCTGGTCACCGTATCGGTGATTGATTTGCGTGAGTTTTTTAATCCAAATAATGTAAAATTTAAATGAAATCTTTACCGGCGATCACTGAAACGCAGCTAGCAACTGTATACGCGAAAAAGCATGGTTGCCACTTTTTCTCATTAAAACGTGTTCGAATCGTAGTATTTTTCAAATGGCACATGCGTTTAGATTCTTAACGCAGAAGTGGAGTTGCATTTAGGGGACGAATTCTGCTTGTTTAAATGTGCTTCTAAAGTTGCATTTAGAGCTAAATGCACTAAATGTGCTTTTACACGTAAGCAAAAACTGGATGTTTATTTACAATATATACTAAGGTGTTCAATTATTCGCCTTTTCCGAAACCCGGTTTTCGAGTTTTCAGTTTCCTCATTTTCAAATCATGAAAACCCCTGATAAATCGGTTTACTTTACATATTCCCTCTACATTAACGCTTACTGTAGTCAGAAATCATAGTCAAAATTACAATATGACTGCTAAAAATAGGTATAGCTTTAATTTAGAAATCAATAACCCAAAATAAGTTCGAAGTATTTTGGATTACAAGTACAGAAAAAAGGAAAGAAAATTTCACACTTAACAGGGTTCACCGACCTTAATAAGATTTGATCACTAAAAAACAGTCCTTTGTCGGGAACACTAGTGCATGTAGAATCAACTTTCTTGGGAATGAGAATAAACCATCCACTGATCGTGAGTTCCACTATCGGAGACCACCAATCCTATCTTAGACGAAGAGCTCGTGTTGCTCTTCAAATGAGCACCTACATCAGCTATTCTAACATCCCTCTCCCTTGGTCCAACCCCCTCGAATCTGTCCTTTTCCTGAGCCTACTGTGTGAGAATGAAAACTAAATGTAGTCGATTCACTGATTTAGTCAACTTATTTAACTTATTATTAAAGCAATTTTCTGGAAAATTTCCCAGTATTCAGATATAAAATTTATAAAAATTTTCCATTTTCACTTTCAATAAAATAAATATTTAGAACTTTTACATTCATATCTCTGCATTCCAGAAAATTGAGATTTCATAAAAATCGCATAGAAATAGTAAAAAAATCGTCATGAAATTTCTAAACACTGGACTCCAAAGAATTAATAATATTACAATTTATGATCAGTCAAAAAATGAACAATAATCAAAACTCTGAGTATCGCACTAAAGTCGATATGTAAAACATCGCCATGGGCGTCGCCAGGATCAAATTTAGGAAAGCTGACATATAAAAAAAATTCCTCGAAAATTTTATTTCAAAATTTTAATGTATTTTAATGACTGATTAATCCTTATTAATGCATATGTGTAAACTAAATAATTCCAATCTTAACTAATAGCCAAATATAAATTTAGTTTAGTAAGTAGAGCGGAGTACTAAACTTACATTTGTTGACTTTGATGCAAATAGAGGTATATTAACAGGAAATCAATACCTGAGTGGAAGATCGACCTATCTCGGCAACCAGTTCGAAAACGCCCTATTCCAGAAAATTTTCAAGAACGCCCTATCTCACAATTCGGTTCAAAAACGCCCTTACTCAGCTGCTGATTCAAAAACGCCCTATCTCACCACATTTTCAATACATTTTCATTTGAGATAGAGCGTTTTTGAACCGAATTCAGAAATAGGGCATTCTTCAATCAAATTCTGAAGTAGGGTGTTCTTGAAACGTTTTCTGATATAGGACGTTCTCGAACTGGCTGCCGAGATAGGTCGATCTTCCACTTAGGTGTCGAAATACGACTACTACTTTCTTACTGCGAAGATATGTAGGACAGGCGTATAAAAAAATTAATAATTGTGAAGTAAATACATATCATCACCCTTATGCCAATATTGAGTTATTGGGTTGACTTGTTTAACCTTTGGATGTTCTATTTTATACCAAAAGCCAGAATACCATACGTACATGGAAAGCATATATTTCACAAAGTCAATTACATGAATGCAGAGTTAAGTCTCGTAAAAAAACTTCAAACTTGATTTCTCAAAATTTTAATCTTTACACATTCATGTTTCTGGAATGCGGGGAACGATATGTACTTGCCGATTTGTTTTACGTCTCGGTTGCTCAGCAAATAGGTTACTCGTTTCTGTAAGTATTTCACATAGATTCTCTAAAACAAATTTTCGATGTATGCTTAAGATGCAAAAACTTAAAGGTAAATTTTATAAGAAATTAAACAGACAATTTATTTAAATTTGTAGTAACCCCCGAAATTCAGATGAATGCAGTAAAGAAATACTTACTAAATTAATCTTGTACTGCTAGAGGCTTCATAACCCAGAAAATTTGCACCGTTTATGGTGAAAGGCATTTAGTATCAAACTTTTAAACTAAAGCTTTCTTAACCCTTTCAGTAGAAAATTTCAACCACTGATTCTAAAAATTTTAAAATATGTGTACCGGCTAACTTTGTATCGTTCATTTCAAAACTCACATCAACAAATATGTAGAGCTTTGAGCTTTGCCGTCATTCAGGGTCCTTGGTAATGGTCAGTGATATCCTAGGTGTTTAAAAAAGAAAGTGATGTCAACTATTTTTATTGTGTGCTTTCATGAAATATATTTCAAAACTATAAATAACACTGTGCCACAAAAACAAAAAAATTTCAGAACACACGAAAGAATCGATATACTAACGAAACTATGAGCCAAATATAGTAAAACTTAGTTTTTCTCTCTGACGTCAGGATTTTTTGTTCTTTTTTGTTTTTGTTGTTGGCCTTTGAATTTTTAATTATGAATCATTTTTAACGAGCTTGAGGTCCAGCAATTAAATAAAACGCAAAAACTTTGTTCTATTGATATTTTTAATTGTATTTTGTCAATCTGAGGTCATCTTTAGGACTGTAAATATACATACAAACACGATAACTTATTATTAACTTTAAATTATTACAAACATACACTAAACACAACTTACACTCTTGATTGTGCCTGGTGGACTGATTAGGCGTACAGAAATAAAAGTTAAACAAGTGAAATTTTAGGCAAATGAATATAAACATAAGAAGTAAACAATTAAAAATACCGTAATTGTAAACAAAAAACATACAAACAACAATACACGGAACATTTAGCAGGTAGACAATAGTTGCGTTCCAGATGCTTCAATTCACGATTTGCAGGAACAGCTGTTTTCTCCATTAATAAACCTTATGGGAGGTGGTCACCTGGAACGACTTCGTGTAAAAACCTGCAAATCGTGAAGCATCTGGAACGCAACTAATATGTATATGTACAAGCATATGTAGGTACATGTAAAAGCACAGCATCTTATTGTTATTTTATGAAGGTATGTTGGGGAAACGGAACGAATGTTGATTATGGAAGGCGGAACGGAACACCTACGTTGAGGATTGTTGTTGCCGGTTTAACATCAAATTGCGATACACATGTGCACAATTGTCTGTGTCCGTTTTAAAGTTGATCCTTCTCTCATTAGGGGTGTTCGTAATGTGTAACATTTCCAAAATATAGCGTTTATTATAGTTCTTTTTTTCCTATAGAATGGCAACATTATCGAAATCGGGATAGTGTCCCGTATCCCTACAGTGTGCTGACAAGGCCGTCTTATTGTCAGTTGAGCTGTTCCTTAACTTTATATTTGATTTATGTGCGGAAATCTTTGTCTTGAGTTTAGTTTTAGTTGTCACTTGTTTAACTTTTATTTCTGTACGCCTAATCAGTCCACCAGACACAATCAAGAGTGTAAGTTGTGTTTAATGTATTTTTGTAATAATTTAAAGTTAATAATAAGTTATCGTGTTTGTATGTATATTTACAGTCCTGAAGATGACCTCAGATTGAGGTCGAAAAATCGACAATTAAAGATATCGATAGAACGAAGTTTTTACGTTTTATTTAACTGATGGGCCTCGAGCTTGTTAAAAATGATTCATAACTTAAAAATCAAAGGCCAACAACAGAAACATAATATGTTTAAGCGGAGAGCACACCGAAAACACAAAGACACGTCAAGAGTCTACAGAAATATTAAGGACCATTATGATATAAACACCAACAAACGTATCAAAAACTACCAACGCATAACACAACACATGACAAAGCTGTCGGAGGCGACGAAGTTCCTGGAGAGGTGCGGGAGAACAGGATTAACTCCCAACTTCATTGACAACGCTACGAAAAATATACTTTACATAATCAACAATAATACCAGTAACAAAGCATTACCAACAAAAATCACCAATTCAGTTTCCAAATTCATCAAAAATGTTCAGACCAAACTACTAAACCTACTCATCAAAATCAAACATGAGCTGCTTGGAAAAAAGGAAAAGGAGGTAAATATCCTAAAGACGCAAATAAATCAACAACTAAACACACTTGACTCCACAACATTTTTTGAAAGTGAAAATCTACTAACAAAAAAACTTGCTGCGGATATTAAGAAGACACAAACAAACAAATACGAAAAACTAAAAGACAAACAGAAACAACTTTTAAACATAAAGGGTGTACCAGGGTGGTTCTGCAACACGTCAACTACGCAAATTTCTAATGACATTCAGTGGCTTCTTTCTCTTGGTCCTAGATTTGCTTCACCAACAAGTAATAAAGAATTTCCATTATTTCAATTTATAGCAGATGGGGAAAACTGCATTCAAACAATTAAGATAAAGAAAAACAAGAAATCGAAAGAAACAACTTGACGACACTAATACGTGACCATCTCAATAAGAGAACAGAATCAACGAGAGATAAGTTTATTCGCGATACTGTACATTCCACAAGAACATTTTTAAAGAACAATAAACACCTTTTAGTTCTTAATGCCGATAAAGGGAACGTAACCGTAGTTATGAACAAGGTTGAGTACGATACAAAGATGCAGTAAATCGTCAACAACATCTGCACTTACAGAATTTTGAAACATGAAAACCAGTAAATTACAAGACAAAAATAATGAAATATTGGAGAGATTATATAATAACAAGGTCATTGATTTAAAAGAAAAGAACAAGCTTATTTGTAAAACAGCCAATTCACCAAGAATCTATGGTTTACCAAAAATACATAAAGAAGGGATACCCCTCAGACCCATTTGTTCGTCTATCAAGTCCCGTCCTACAATTTATGCAAATACGTTGTCAATATCCTTAGAAACATTACAAAATCTTCCAATTACAATGTTAAAGACGCGATTGATTTCAAGAACAGGATTGAAGATACTTATATATATGATGACGAAAGTTTAGTGTCGTTCGATGTTGTTTCCTTGTTCCCAAGTATCCCGGTGGATTTGGCTATAAATATTATTGCTTCGAAGTGGGATGATATTAAAGAGCATACAAATTTGTCTAGGGATTTATTCTTAAGTATGGTAAAATTTTGCATAAAAGATAATCGATATTTTAAATATAATGGCAAAATATATGAGCAACTGTCAGGAATGCCTATGGGCTCCCCAGCTTCACCAGTGATAGCTGATATAGTAATGGAAGATTTACTGACCAAATTTGAAAGTGATTGTTCCAATAAACCGCGTCTCCGAACCAGGTATGTGGATGATTTGTTTGCCATAATTCAAAGAGAAGATATAGACAAAATGCTTACTTTATTAAACAGCTACCAAAAGACGATTAAATTTACGATAGAAATAGAAAAAGATGGAAAACTACCATATCTGGACACCCTAGTAATCAGGAAGAACAACCGATTAAAAATTGACTGGTATGCAAACCTACGTCGACGGGGAGATTAATTAATTATAATTCGAAACATGAGAGCAAAACTAGTTTAAATACCGCAACCAATTTTATTAGAAGAGTTCTCACTACTAGCGACAAATATTTTCATAAAAAGAACAAAAATATAATCCAACAAATTTTGGAACAGAACGAATTCCCCTCTTGCTTAATTAGGAAACTCATTCAGAATTATTACGTCAGGACCGATAAAGAAAATACTTATAATGAGAATAAAGTATACAAAACCGCTACATATGTTCCGGGGATATCTGAGAGGATTAAACATTCTAATATATATGATAAAGAGAAGGTCCAACTAGCATTTACATGCAGCAACACACTAGGAAAAATGTATAGCAACACTAAGGATAAGATTCCTAGATGCGAGAAATCTGACGTAATATACAAAATCTCATGTAATGGCAACGGGTCCCACTCATGCCAAAAAGTATATGTGGGGACAACTAAAACTATACTCAAGACAAGGATTTCCGCACACAAATCAAATATAAAGTTAAGGAACAGCTCAACTGACAATAAGACGGCCTTGTCAGCACACTGTAGGGATACGGGACACTGTCCCGATTTCGATAATGTTGCCATTTTACAAGAAGAAAAGAACTATAATAAACGCTATATTTTGGAAATGTTACACATTACGAACACCCCTAATGAGAGAAGGATCAACTTTAAAACGGACACAGACAATTGTGCACATGTGTATCGCAATTTGGTGTTAAACCGGCAACAACAATCCTCAACGTAGGTGTTCCGTTCCGCCTTCCATAATCAACATTCGTTCCGTTTCCCCAACATACCTTCATAAAATAACAATAAAATACTGTGCTTTTACATGTACATATGCTTATACATATACATATTGTCTTACTGCTAAATATTCCGTGTATTGTTGTTTGTATGTATTTTGTTTACAATAACGGTATTTTTAATTGTTTACTTCTTATGTTTATATTCAATTGCCTAAAATCTCACTTATTTAACTTTTATTTCTGAACGCCTAATCAGTCCACCAGGCACAATCAAGAGTGTAAGTTGTGTTTAATGTATGTTTGTAATAATTTAAAGTTAATAATAAGTTATCGTGTTTGTATGTATATTTACAGTCCTGAAGATGACCTCAGATTGGTCGAAATACAAAATACAATTAAAAATATCAATAGAACGAAGTTTTTGTGTTTTATTTAATTGCTGAGCCTCGAACTTGTTAACAATGATTCATAGTCAGGATTTTTTTTCAAAAGACTTCGAAATTTTAAAGATATGATTAATTCAAAAAATTATTTAAAAAAATCAGTGCAATGTAGAATAACAATATGGGCACCAAATGAAAGAGAAAATTCCGTTGAAGTTAAAAACAATAAAGTTTTTTGGTTTACAAGGACGAATAGGTATTGAAAATGCGCTTTTAATAAACTTTATCTTTTCAAGTTAATAAAGTTTGCAGGACGAAATTCGATGATGTGGTCGTATGTACATATATTAGTCCCCAATCAATAATTTTTCCAAAAATAAATATTGGAAATTTTGGATTTTTAGGGACAAAGTTTTTAAAGGACATTTTCTATACCCATTCGTCCTGATGCACCAAAAAAATTTATTCTGTTAGAATTCTACAGAATTTTTTCTTATACTTGATACCCTTATCTTTATACTACATTGCACGAAATTTTTAAATAATTTTTATAAGTAATCACATTTTTTAATTCCAAAGTCCTTTTAAAAAGTACTGACCTCAGAGAGAAAAACTGATGTGTTGATTTTTTTAAATATTCGTAATGATTTTCTATAAAAATACTGTTCAAGCTTTAACCACATAATCCACAGTTACAAACTGTATACAAAATTTAGGAATATTCCACACATTTTAGTTTTTTTGATCTGATTCTTTAGAACATTTTTGGGTATGCAATTTTAGCCTAATGCAAGTTTCAAACGGCTAAAAAATCACGTTGATTTATGAGAATTTTTTTTTCCATATAAGCATGAATTTCTTATGAAACAAAATGCCGGAGACCGCAACAACAAAGTTTCAAAAAATCAACGCCATTTTTTGTAAATTACACTTGTTATATAACAAAAAAACCGCAAAAGAAGTATCCAAACAAGAAACAATTATCAAAAATTAGCGCGATTTTTTAGCTGATTGAAACTTGTTGTTGTTGTTGTTGGCTTCTGTTTTTGTTACGGGCAACTGTTTGTTTACTTTTTCGCTTTTGGGAGGAGCGCCAGTTTTTCTCTTTGGCTTTTATAACAATTAAAGATTTTTCTTCCCTTTATAGTTTTTAAAAATAAAATACAGTCTCATTCGCCTTCAACAATTTTTCCGGCTTTCCACTGTTCTAGTTCTATTTAAATTTTAAAAGACTTTCAGCATAATGTCACTTGCACTTCGTACAAGAGAGTTGCCACATTGAACAAGATATGTTCGATCACGAGATAGACTTTCCTACTATCAGGAAATATTAAGTTTTTTATTTTTTTTAAATCTTGCGATCAGCGAAAAAAATATTATTTTCGGGAAGGCAGTAAAGATTATGCTGTCTTTTAGCTGCATACTATTAACATTTTTATTTATTTATTAATTTTAATTTTTTTTATATTTTTTATGCTGCTTTTCTCGTACGTTTCTTAACCTTCAAACTCTAAGTATTTTTATAAGACTATTTATTAGTGTACATATTGATTTCCCAAAATTTTAATCTTTACACATTCATGTTTCTGGCATGCGGGGAACGATATGTACTTGCCGATTGGTTTTACAAAAATTATTTAAAAAGCAGACGCCTCGGATGCTCAGCAAATAAGTTAATCGTTTCTGCAATTATTTCACATAGATTCTCTAAAACAAATTTTCGATGTATGCTTATGTAAAGTTTATAAGAAATTAAACTGACAATTTATTAAAACTAGTGTAAATATTTATAAATTACAATTGAGGAAGAAGATGCAATAATGGCTCAAAGAGAGATGTGCCCTTTTTACGTAAAATGGATCAATAGAAAGAAGTAACATATGAAAATAGCGGAAATTTGTTTAGTCAGCGCACTTACAAAAATACTGTTTTTGTTTTTGCCTTGAGTTGCTTCTCTCTCCTTACTTTGCAAATAGCGTTGTTGTTGTTGTTGGATTTTATACCGTTTTATATGTAATACATTTTTCGAAATTGTAATTAATGTAAGCAAGTGTGTTTATATATGTATGTATGTCATCACCATTCTATTGAAACAAGATTAAAATTTTTTTAATTTCTTTGTTTTATGAAAAAAGGACACATCTGCCTCTTCCCTTTTTCGCATTTTTTGAGCAATAATATGGAAGACATATTTTGTTAGTATGCAAGTTGGAATGAGAATATAGAAGTATTAATGGCTATCAAAACCTTCTTTTATTTACTGCAACAGCGCAAAAGTTATCACACATCAAAAACCTTAAACGCTAATATTTATGTATCTCAAAAAGCAGTTTTAACATAAGTGCCCTTATTGTTTCTAATTCCTCAATTGTATATTGTACATATATTAAGCTTAAAAATAGTTTTTGTAAATATCTATACTATGCATTATGCATATATGTACATACATCAACAAAAAATTAAAATCTATATGCATGCATACATGTGTACTACGTATGAAACATATTCTCAATTTCAACTTAATACCACTTTTGTATTTTTATTTTTTCTCTTTCTTTTTCTTTACTCTTTTAATGGATTTGTTTGGCATTGGTTACGTCACTTACTTGCACCAATCTATCACTACCTCCTATAAATCTATATATGTACCACTTCCATTTTGATATTACCTACAATAACTACTACATCAACAACAACCGTTTGTTGCTGCTACGTGTGTTACGAATCTGAATATCGCTGTTACAAATTTTGTATGTATGTTAAATAAAAAATAATAATATTTATTAATATCAAAATATTATAAATGTATTTTTATAAATATTTTATAATTTGAATTTAACCGCTTTTACCGGACTGCCTTAAATACCATACCGCTCTTATACCGGACGGCTATGGTTTCACTGGACGATTTCACTGCGATTTACTGCTTCGACTGTTCGACGAATTTTTGGAATTTTTTCGGTGTATGTGTAGACCTTACGACAGTGCTGTTGGTCAATAACGAGAACAATGGACGCAGCGACTATTTGGGCCACTATGCTAGCGTGCGCCCTGAAGTTGGCTTACTGACTTCAACTGCGCGCACCTTCATACAGGAGGGCGTAACCACCGAGTACGCCACGCAAGTGGTGGGCACCATACTGGACAATGGGCGTTTGTATGCGCAGTACCTTAAGAAGAGTTCACGCGTGCTTTACGACAATGGCCAGCAGCAGCCACATCAAACTGCCGTGTTACCCACAGCCATTACCAGCTGGGTGGGCGATAATTTGGAGTTGCAAACGAAATCACTGTTGGAGAGCCACAATGATCTGTTTAACGCCGATCAGCCGGATTGGCAAGACATCGATGATCGTTTGCTAATCGATGGCAGTGCTTTTGTTGGCAACACGGATTTCGTTGGTTTAAGCGAAGGGAGAAAAAAACAGCAAAATTCAATCTCCACTGCTTATCCGACATTTCCTTCCACCCACATCACTACAAACTTTAGTAGTAGCAGCAGTAATAGTAGTAGTAGCAGTGGTCGCAACGGTACGCGAAATTGGCATGCCGATGTTCCCTTGCACAAAGCGAGCCGAACAGGACAGCTGGAGGAGAATGCGCGCGAATTGGAAGCGAACAAGGTTCTCCCTATCGCCGACTTGCCCACGTACACAGTGCGCAATCACTTCTCGCCGAGTGGTTTCTCAACAGAAATGAACTTAAATCAGGTACATTTGCCCCAGCATCCGGTAAGTGGTGGTACTGGCGAATCCTCGCATATATACAAAAAATTTGGCAACAATGAGTTGATACTCAATCGCTCGCCAAAGCTCTATTACCAACAGCTGATGGGTGCTAACGGTGGCATTAGTAGGGCTTTCAAAGCCGCACCGGCAGAAGCCTTTTTAAATCGGCAGCTGTCGACCACCACTTATTATGGATTCGCGGACTTTACGACTATTGTTGGCGACAGTGTGATTGTCTTCTCGCCCAGCACCTCCACTGAGAACCTGAACTTGGGCCATGTGACGTCGATAAAAGGCGAGGCGACTTTGGACGCCATTGGTGACATTAACAAGCCTCAGGTGTCTACAGTCGCTATAACAGTGGCTATAGCACCAACGCTAGCTGTCAACACACAGTTGCTATCAACAATGCATATAGCTGATCCGAATAAGTTTACTGAAAATAGCATCAACCTTGAGGCCGGAGCTGCCTTGATGCCATCACAAATACCAGAAGAAATTACGTCACATGAAGTGGCATACAGTGCGGAAGAGAAAGCGACAGCATCGGTTGCAGATATGGTGAAAAGTAACGCACCCAGTAGCATTCAGTTTGGCGGAACTGAAGCGGATAGTAAATTGAACATTGGCGAAAGCCACCTCACTACCAACATGCAGACGCTTGCGACATACTCGCGTCCATCTGATCAAGAAGTTTTGGAAATATACGCCTCACTGTCACGCGCAGAGGCATCACGCAAATCGGCCACTACAGCAGCAGCTGCACATTTAGATGTAAAAATTATTACTGAGCAGCTAGTTGATGAAAGCAAAGCTATCTATATGATGGAAGCCACTTTGCAAAGCAGTGAGCCGCGCAGCACTGAAGCTGCCACGCCTAATGCAGCGGTGGATATTGCTCAGCCCAGTACCAGTTCTTCCGGGAAGATGTTAGGTGGTGCAACCACAATATTCTTCGAGGACGACCCTTTTGCCAACTTCGTGGAGCCCACAACTACCGCCGAAAGTGCAAAATTAGACTCCGGTGCCACCATAATGGAAACCACGGATGTTTCGGAGCAAGATACGTCGCAAATTGGTTACGAAACAACAACAACCAGCAGTGATACAACCAAAGAGGAGTACGAAGACGTGGATGAAACAATCACCATCGAACCACCAAAAATTATTACTTTCCCGAATAATACTAAACAAAGCATGGAGGGAGAAGCAGAACGGGATACTGCATCAGCGCAGGAAGCAGAAGCGCAACCTGCAGACAAAAATGTGCCAGCCGTTCAAGTAAAGCCAACGTCCAAAGTCAGCGTATTGGAGATCAACACCGACGACGATGTGGCGGTTATAGATGATTGCACAAGAACTTCCCAAGTTTTTCTTACACAAATTGCCCAAACAGTAACCAAATCAAGCGCTCTGTATGAGAAGGGCGATGACGGCGAAATGGCCAAACCCGGGACGCCACTGCCGCCAACCTTTGACATTTTTGAAACAACCAAGTATTATTGCATAAAACCTGAGGCAACAATAGTAGTAACAGCAACCAGGGGCCCAACTGACAGTTTTACTATAGAGGAGGAGGAGGAGAAACGAACGCAAGTGCAGAAGCCACAGGCACAGGATGCTAATGCAGCGGAAGTTACCGAAAATTCCGTGAACGCCACGAATGCGGTTTCCGCGCCTAAAGCAAGCACAGTAATCGAAACTACCAGCGATGCACCTAATGAGAGCGAAACAACATCAAGCGCTGCTCAAAGCGAAATAGAAAATGAGGAGGATGCAAATAACGATGCCGATATGGACGTCGACACTGAATTAGAAGACGCAGTCTATTCGACTGAAGAGGAGTCAGGAGAAGAGATTGAGCTAATTTATAAGACGCTCTACACGACGTACACATACTTGACCACCTTCTTTAATGACGACAGCAAAACCAGTATCTCAAGCCACACGGAAGTGCTCACCAACGTTGTGACATCGACTTTGGATTTGGGAGCCAAAGAAATAGAGCCAACCGCCATAAACCGGCAGACAACGGCAGGCACCTTGCGGGCAGAAGATGGAGCCAAAATGCAGCCACAGCAGGAAGACTCTGCAGGCACTTCGAAATTTATACTGCCCACTGAGTTGGAGAGTATTTTGCGGGAAGGAGAGCATACCAGGGAAAGCAGCGCCAATGACTACAATACGATCAACGAAAAATCTGAGCAAGCGACCACGTTTTTGGATGACAATAAACTACTCAAGACATACTTTACCACCTACACGTATTACACGACCATATTTGTAGACGGTGAGACGGAGCTCATGTCTAGAACGGAGGTTTACACAAACTTCGTTACAGACTCCATAGCGGCCACAGCCGTGCTCGAATGGAGTAAGTCGGCACACGCACCGGAAGTTAGTATTGCGAAGGAGATTGGGGAAGGAAGCAATTTAAATAAAGTCAATGAAACCAGCGAAGGCACTGCCAACGACCATCAACTATTGAGCTACAGCACCATGATACGCGGGCATGCCACCTCCGCATACAAAAGCCATCCAGAGCCAGATCTTAGTAACTATACATCCGTCATGCTGGTGACTGACGTGCGTTCGAGCAGCTCGAACGGTGACCATCACATCATCAATCAAAAACAAGGCTCCTTCGTAGACGACCAAATAAGCTCGGAAAGTAATACCGATGAAATAAGACCGTCAGCCACTTTACTGCTGCAGACAAGCTTCACCACTTTCACCTACTACACGACAATGTACAACAACGATGCGACAAATGTCATAAGCCGCTTGGAGACGATTACTAATCTAGTCACCGAGACATTGCAGGCAAGTAAAACCGAAAGTGTTGAGGAAGCTATGCTGCCCATTACATATTTCACCACATTTACATACTGGACCAAGCTCGCAAAGAATGGCGAAATCACGACGCTCAGCCGGGAGGAGACAATCTCCAACATTGTCACACCGACCACTCTTACACCTATGGGCGCTTCGATTGCGCCCAGCATCTTGCTGCAAGACACAAATTCAAGAGCTGAAGCCGTAAATTCAGCGAACGATGAGGTGGTACAAATTGCCAGCGACACGCCTACTCCGTCGATTAGTGTGCCAACAAATGAGCTGCATGTGGTCGAAGTAAACAAAACCAGAGTGTTTGAGCCCACGACCTACTACACAACTTACACGTATTATACCACTTCATACGATGGGGACAGAGCGATAACAGATTCTCGGTTCGAAACAATAACAAATTTGGTGACGCCTTCTATAATTATTTCGGCTGCAACCCCAGCAGTTGAGGGGGTTGGTACTGCCACCAGCGATAATAGCGCGCCAAATGAGGGAGAGGGTGCTAATGACGGCATTACACCTGCGCTTTTAAAAGATACTCCTTTGCTGCTTTACGATTACAAAAAGATTATTGACTCGGACGGTATTAGTACACTTCACTTCACCACGGAGATATTATCCACAATCGCTGCCGATGGCTCGCCGTCCGAGTTCATTAGCAGCACATCGAGTTTGTATATTGACGAAGTCAAGAAAGCGCTGCTGCCGAGCACTAACGGAGTAACGGTGAATGTGGATGGCAGCACTGCGCGCCAGTATAAAACGGGGTTGGTACGACTGATAGAGGGCACACGCATCGGCAACCGCACAACCACCCTATATCAGTCCAAAGTTATAGGCACATTTATAGAGAACCGTTATGCTCAAATTATTGAGAGCACGTCTAGTTTTATTTTTGAAACAAAGAAATTGAATGGCAATAATATCGCCACTGGTGTGTCTATTGGACCAACTCTTACAATGAGGTCATCTCCAGAGATAGAAGCCACAAAAATAGCAACTCTGGATATACCAGCGGTCCGCACAAGTATTGCGGACACTGGCTCGGAAGAGAGCGCCACTGATTTGCCCACAGATGGTGAGGACGCTAAAGAAGATGATGAGGACGAGGATGGTGACGATAACAAAGCCCGTTTGCCCTTCCAATCGAAGAAACGTACTTTTACGCCAGTAATACGGCCATTTGCTTCGCGAAATCGACCGCAGTTTGCACCTAAGAAGAAGAACGGTGCACCAAGTAGCGCTACAATTATAACACGCCTTGATTTCACACCAACTATAACTGCTACACCTGCGATAAAATCCAGCGGTCGTTTTAGCACGAGAAAAGGCGGAATTTATAGCAGCCCTGTATCATCAGGCACTTTTATTGCTGCCACTGGTTCGTCGTCTCGTCGATCCTTCGGCAGACCTATCAAGCCCTCACAGGTAGCTGGCAATGGTGCTGGGCTGAATTCCCCCGCATTAGCGTCCACTAGTGGGTTTGGAGGTGGTAGAAATAGACTTTCGCCTTCCACTCGTCCAACGCTGCAGTCCTCTACACGTCGCGCAGGTGTTTTGATACGGCCTTCATCTCCTGGTAGCTTCCGACCAGGTTTCTCAACTCCCTATGCTGGAAGTTCACGCGGACGCATTAAGCCAACAGGTTTGGGGTTGCTTGGCCAACAAAATACCCCAGCGGAAGGCATAACTACTTCATCGCCAGATACAAGCGGCGAAGAAGAGTCGACTACACTGCAGCCAGATGAAGGCGAAAATGAAGAGACCTCTGCAGATGTCACACGCCGAAGTCAAAACCCATTGTTGCGTTTTCGCAGACCAATAAATCGCCCAGCTGGTTTTACGCCGGCCAATCAGCGTACCAGCAGTTCTAGCGGTGGCGCAATCTCGCCTCGGCGCAATCCTTTGACAGCTCGTGCTAGATCGGAAACTACTACGCCCACCACTACAACGACAACACCCCAACCGCGGCCACGCAGCTTTCAACGACCACAAATCGGAAATATACCAGGCAAACCACGCCCACAAAACAGTCTCTTTCCGCCACGGGGACTGCTCCAAAAGCAAACAAATCAAGATGCCAACGAAGCCAAAGAAAGTAAAAAAGATGAAATCACTGAAGGAAACGTAGATGGAGATGATGATTCGGAGTACGACGATGAAGACGAAGAAGATAACGAAGATGATGCCTATGGTGAGAACAATCGGCGTCGTCGCTCTAGTACCAAACAATCTAAATCGTCGACTAAGTCAGTGGCTTTAAAATCTCAAAAAATCTACAAAAACTCAAAGCCTTTTACAAAATCTGAGCGCTCGTTACGTGTACGCCGTGAAACCACTACCTCTTTGCAAAGGCGCAGTAATTTTCGTAACAGATTCCGTCGCCCGAAGCTTACATCCACTGCCGAGGAACGCAATTTCACTGAGGACGTCGAACCAGAAACCTCCCCACCACCCACCACAACAGCAACGCGTCCACGGACCAACGGCCGTTTTGCTTCACGCTTCACGGGACACCACAGTACGCAAGCAGCCACAACCACAACAGCAAGCACATCAAGCCATCGTACTATAAGACCCACGCGACCCACAAATGGGCGCGCACAGTTCACATTGCGAGAAAAAGACACCACCACAACGCAGAAAGTTCTGACGCGCCCTGGCACTAATAATTTCCGTCGACCACAAACTGCGGCTTCTTCCCGACGTACACCACCGCCATCGGCTGGAAACAGTCGGCGTTTAAAATCTTACAACAACAATTTGTCACAGGACACATCCTCCCGCAGTCCATCGGCGAGGGGACGCAACAACTTAAGTCGTACGCGCACAACAGTGCGTGGACGCAGCCGAAATGACTACAATGCCGATACGGTTGAGATACCATATGACGGCACAATCACCGTCACGCACGTCATACCAGCTGAAGTCACGATCCCAGTCGTCAATGGCAAGTTAACAGAATACAAAAATGTTGTCACGGCAAAGACGAGCACCGAAGTGTTGGGTCCGCAGCAATACACCAGTTTTGTCGGCGGCAACGGCCAGACTATGTTGGCGTTGACCCGCGAAGACTCCAGCATAAATTTCGGTGGTGCTACTGAGATTACACAGTTTGTTCTGCACGAGTCACCGACAACTACTGTCATCTTCACACCAACAACAATACGTGGACGCAAAACATCGTTTTCGCATGTCATACCATCGACGGTTTATTCAGTGGAAAATGTCGTTTCCACATCACAGCCTCAAATATCTGCGAATGCACCCTTGGCCAACATCTTACTATCACAACTGCTGCTCGGCAATATTGGTCTCCCGGCGGCGAACCCCTTGCTTGGCGCATTTGGTGCGGCAGTGACACCAGCAGCGAATCAATTGGCGGTGGGTGCACCGGGCACCCCAGCAACGCCCGTTACTGAATACCGCACACATACTTCCACCTACGTGACCACAGTTTTCGAGGGCATGTCCACCATACTGCCGGTGACATTCCAGGGTAAAAAGATACTTACCACCGTCTACGATACAACCGCACAAACAATAACAGCCACAGAATTTGTCACCGACACCATTGTGACCACACCGACGCCACAACCCCTCGTAGCACAGGTACCGCAGGTCAACAGCTTGCTGTTGCAACAACTGCTGTTACAGCAGCAACTGCAGCCGCAAATCGAGACACAGCAACCGATACTACATTCGGCGGCCCCGCAGCTGCTGCTGACAGACAACCTACAGGATCTGGACACAAACAATATACGATCGTCTAACGATAATGATAACGACATACCCGTCGTCGAAGAGAATCAGTCGAACAAAGTGGTCCGAAAGAAGTCACGCAAATCGGGTAAGTCACACAAGCGGAAACACCAGTCAGTACCGGAGGAAGCGCCGGATGGCTCTAGCGTCATTACCCTGTATGTCTCAGGGCGACGTCCAGGTGAATTCAGTACTATTTTGAGCACAGTGCCCTTGGGATACGAGTCAACTCTGCATAAGCGCCAAGCGCCTGGCGTCGTGAAACAATCTGCCAGAATTGATTCCGTTAATGATTTTTACTTGACGGATGGTAGTGAGATTGTGGCGGAATACATATTACCAGAAGAGCTGAAAGAAGCAAACGCGGTGCCTCAAATCGACTTGAATATGCTCGAGAGCGGCGAAAATCACCTGCTTGACCAAACGCAATCATTAGAGAGTATTGTCGGCGACGTGGGTACTTGGCTCGCTAAAAGCACGCAATTACATGACGGTCAAACAGCGCGTAAACTGCTAGCCACCAGTGCACTGCAGAGAGAGGCACTTCAACATGTCGAAAGTCGTTTGGTAAGACGACAGCCGTTGCTCGACAATTCGACGGACAAACCGGATGAAAGCAGAAAATACTATAATTTTTTAGTTTAGCTGACCTTACTGTGTTATCATCCCCATGCCAGTTCAAGGTCATTAATTTCGATTCAAAAAGCCCAAACTCAGCTAAAAGTAGTTTGGATATAGGTATTTATGAAAGGAACAGCAGTAAGAGCAGCAGTTCACACATTAGCAGCAAACGCATGAAGGTGTACGACATCAACAGAGGAAACGGCAGAGCCAGTAGCAATGACGCGATCTTTCGTAAATACTTGGGGAATAACATAATATACACACATGATTTCAATTTCAAAGGAAAGTCAACTCAAATACATAAAAACCAAATAACGAAATCAATTAGATGTAAAGACATTGTGTCTGCTAAAAAATCGAACCACACATATGCCATAAACAAATTAAATCATACTATTAATCAATGTAATATGTTACAGAATAGGAGGAGAAGGAGTACCACGCATTCGATGGCCACTGGGAAACGTGCGAAATTAACTAGCGAAAATTCCACAACAGCAGCAAATATTGACTATGAAAGCAAATCCGCAACTGCGAATGAAACAACAATGATTTCAAGCCGCGCCGTACGGCGTAGGTATAATAAGGTGCTCGTCCGACGGCAAAGATTGAAAACCGTAACAGCGGAGCTGCCCGACAGTGAAGCAGAAGAGGCGCTCACTGCGACGTCTACTACTACAACTTTGCCTTTGCGAAAGATCATTGTCATCAAACAACAGCGCCGGCGACCGGTAGCGAGGGCAGAACACAACCTGAAAAATAGAACGGATAAGGCAAATGATAGAAAAGTCTTGAGCGCGCAGAGTTCTGTATTTCCGAGCAACTTGACAGCTATCGAAAAACATAATGATAGTATTGGCAACGCATCCGCATCGCCAGTTGACATAGGCCACACGACGACCCCAGTAAAAAGCAATGTCCAGAGCCACGGCCGCAGCCGCGTGGTGAGAAAACGTATACATCGCAAGCTTCGTGTATTTGAACTAACAGGCATGGCTAATCAAAGCGCCATATCAACAACAAAACCAACAGTGCAAGTTAAGCCACAGCTGGCATTCACTGGAATAGAAACTGGAATAGAAACTGGAATAGAAACTAAAGCTGCAACAGAAATGGTGCCCATAATCCTCGACTTGCAAACAAGAACCAAAGAAAGTGTGCGCGAAATGACACCATCACGCACGCGGAAGAAACGGCGGCGCAAGAAACAGGGACGTTCGCGGATGAGCTCACAGACCCAAAATAAATCAGACAAACGTGAAATGCAAACAATGAATGACAAAGCGTCATCACCAATTTCACTGTCTATTGCACCAACTAAAGCCCTACCAGCAATTTCAAATGTTTTATCAAATGCCATGCGCTCGATGAGCAAAATCTATGCCACGGTTCCAGCATCGGTAATTAGTAGTAGCGACGCTGAAATTCAAGCAACGCCAGCACTCGAAACCCAAACATACATTAAATACGAAGTCGCTACCAACGTGCAGTATGTGACAAACGTACGTGCACGCACCTATACATATGTTGTTGATCGCGTGCACGAACAACAACATCACGTCGAATCTTCCACTCTGGTCCGCATGCAAACGCAGATCGTACCGATTACAATGAGAATAACACTGACGCTAACTAATGTCTTAACTCAGGCCGCGCCAACAGCGGGGCCAACGCAGTGAGAACAGGTGACGACTGCAATATGCATGTATGTATGTATATGGAAAGACCATATCGCACACTTAGATCTAAAGTACGATCAACTCAAAAAAAAAAAATTATACCATTTTTTGCATTAATCAATACATAGCGCTTATCTCCAATGAATGCAAATATTTTTTCTTCATCATTATGCTTATATACACTAACTAAAAAAACTCCTGTTACACCTGTTTTTGTATTAAACAATTGCGTTGAATTTTGAGTTAGCTCACTTTAGATCTAGGTGTACGATATATACCCGTAAATATTGAGTGATTTTTTATTCAAATAAAATGACTAACTAAATATTATTTTGTCTGTGATACGATTAATGCATAGTAAACCACAAATGCGTTCGTTAGGATGAGATTTTTCGCAGATATATTCTATTTCAAATAAAATGGCTAACTAAATGTTATTTTGTCTGTGATACGATTAATGCACAGTAAACAACAAATGCGTTCGTTAGGATGAGATTTTTCGCAGGTATATTCCATTCCTTTGACCTATGATGTAGAACAATTTTAAGGTGTTTCCTCAGAGCTTCAAAATTAGTACGATGCAACTCTACAGAGCTTAATTCAAACTCGAGTCAGTGCCATTATAAATGCATGTGGATGCAAATTAAGATATAATAAAACGTAACTCTTATCTTCAGAGGCATATAGTGAAATTTTGCAAGCAATTTCTTCGTAAAAGTTTTTAGCTGTTAAATTCTCGCCCAACGGCTCTTTGAATCTTTGTGAAAAACTCCTTTGACAAAGTCTAAATGTTATCCAAAAATATTAAGCTGATAATTTAACTGGGAGTCGCCGAAGAAACAAGAAGCCCATAATTAAATGTGAGGTTTTAAAAAATTTTTGGGGCATTTTAATTATACTTAAATACATAGCTATAAATAGCAAAATATTATTTAACTGCATTTTTATTACTTTGCATAGAACTTCTTTAAGTTCTGGTTGAAAAGACCCGCCCTCTGAATACAATACTTATGTTTGAAGTCAATCTATGCTATAATAAAACTGAAGAATTCGAGTCTGTACATTGAAAATTTCTTTAAAAGAATTACCGAAGGTGATGCAGGGAATGTAATACACATTTGAACCATTTTTAGAGTGTTTGTCTGCTGTTTATATGTTTGCTACTCTCTAATCTCCGGAACCACTGAATGGATTATCTGGGGCTTTAACTGGCGACTAGACTTTCTACTTTGGAATGAGTAGACAACTGAGAACTAAAGTCCTCTCTCGTCATACAAAAATCACGCTCTATAATAGCGCCGTCAGAATGGGTATTTGTATGTCACTACCGGAAAAGCATGCGAAGTAACCCAACGTCTCCACCTTCTACTGATTTTGTTAAAAAATCTGTGTTAAGACAGAGATGTCAGATGGAGACTTCAAACCATATCCGTCTTGCCGAATTTCTTACCATCGCAGTCTTAACATCAGCTGTCATTTCATAGTTTGACAACTCAGTTTTCATTTTACCGCGAATTTTTTAATTTAAAACAAATCTTTAGCCCTCAAGTTTGAGTTTTTCCAAGTTTTCAAGGCTTTTCCAAGTTTAAGGGAAACCCCTAAATAGTTTTGAGATTATATCCTCGGTAAATAAACAAATATGCTCTTAAATATGCTTCATCAATAAAGTTTTATTAAAATGTGCAATATTTTATTTATTTGTATTCAATAACTAGCAGAGCACCCGACGGGGTGCAGCCCAGTCACCTGCAATATTTGACTTTGCGATTTATTTATAACATGCCAAAGCAAAGCCTTAAATAATAGTGAAGCCTTTTAAATTCAAATGGCAAGCCTGAAGAATAAGTGGGACTCTTGACAGAAACACATCGTCACCTTTGCCACATCCAGTAATCATTCTTGCTTCAATTATATTAGTCATAATTTTCTTTACTGCCAATCTAGCTCCCTTATTAAGGTTGAGTGTATCAAGGTAACCTTAGAAGAATAAAAGGCGCTCCAATTTTTAAAGTGAGATTATGTGTCACGTGACTTATGGTTCCAAAGTTATGGTTCTCTGAACATTTGCCGTCTATCAAGCAAACTCTCATCCCTCTTTAGTTTATCAAAGGGATTTCCTTCTAGCTGTGTATTCGCAATGGTTCCACGTTTATGATCCTATGGGAGGTCCCACGCTCCCTGGTAAACTCTCACCCCCTTTAAGTTTACTATAAATACCTACTTTGCTAATTTCTCCACTCCAAATATCCATCTCATGTAACTTATGATCATGGTCGTCGAGAGAAAACTCGGGCTCCGGACTGAAATATCACGCGCCCCTGCACATAAATTGTATTAATTTAAAAACATGTGATCAATTGAGAGTTTTCTATGTAGGGTCTCTTTAACGTATAGAGTCAGAAACAAATCGGAATGTATTTGTGATAAAAGCCTATAACGACGGAATAATTTCTGGCGGAAATATCGAAAAATTTTTTTAATTAATTAGCACTTTTTATACCCGAGCGCTCTCGTGCAAAAGGGTATTATAACTTTGTTAACATAACGTTTGTTTGTAACAGGCTAAACGAATCGAGATAGATATAGACAAATGTATACATAAATGATCAGAATGAAAAAAGAAATTGATTAAACGGAGACTGTCTGTCCGACCGTCCGTCCGTCTGTGCACACGATAATTCGAGTGATTTGGAGAAATACGAAATCTTCGATAAATCAGTAAATACTGAAGATAATTTATACAAAATTGATGTTTGCAATAATTCTTTAGCACAAAACAAGTTTATAATAAAATTTTGGAAAATATTTGTACAAACTCGGAATAATTATTGGGCTTGCCACATAAAAGCAAAATGCTGAAAATTAAATTTCAAAAATGCTTGAAATACTAATTTACACAAAATTGATACTAACAACATTCCCTTAAAAAGAAGTAATATTATTTTGGAATTTTGGAAAATGGGCGCGATACCGCCCACATATAATTATAAGAGTTAGTCGAAGATGTTTGAAATAGGGATAAAACCACCCCTGCTTAACATGTAGTGGTAGTTTTCGGAAGGGGAAAAAAACTATATTTAATAATTGCGCTGGGTATGTTCGGCCCCGCCCGAACTTATACTTTTTTACTTGTTATATATGAGCTTTTCTCACTTTCTGAGAAGCAAAGTATTTTATGACTACATCAAAATCCAACTGCTTTGCCAGAGCTGCTTCGATACAAAGAGAAGGTAGCGTATCGAAATGCGCTCTTGTTTAGAACACGAGCGATGAAATGTTCTTTACTCTGGCAATCACACTGAAGGAACAATCAGCGCTAGCTACAGTAACAGGTATTGGCAAAATATTCGCAAAGCGACGCGAATGTTCGGAAAAATGGTTATGGAAAGGACGCGCATTGTTTTCATTCGAAATTGAATTGTAAGAAAGCCCGGCCGGGGGGATACTCAAAGTATCGCTAGGGAATACTCGATTCTACTTATACTCGAAAGTACACGCTTCGTCCAAGTACATGAAGAGCTGAAAAATGCCAATATCCTATATTGCAATGGGGTTACTCGAAAGTGCTGAAACAGGATACAATAGGTAATGAGAAAGCTCATCGTTTACTTGTGTATGATTCTGTTTCCCAGCGTTTCAAAACGAATTCTAGAGATGCTTCCGCAAATCATGCTCTGCTTCTACATTCGCTAATTCGATACGACTTTTGTTCTCCACTTACGTGATGTCCTTTAGTTTTAACCCTAGCAAGGTCGAGTGGTTCACATCTTGAACAATTTTTTCAATTTTGTATTCAATACACATGAAGTTCTTGTACACGCGTATCAAAGTACAAAAAGTACTCGGCATTTGGTAGATGTACTCGATGAGGGAAAAATAACATTCCTCACCCTACTCGACCACTCAAAAGCGTTCGATTCAGTTAACCACAGTATCCTAACCACAAAACTTCCAAATTGTTTGGTCTTTCTACTACTTCAGGGGTGGGCAAGGCCGAGGCCGAAAAGAGCCACATGTAACTTCTACATGCTACAAAGAGCCACAAAAAAAACAAAAATTTTATTTTTAAATAAAACTTTGTTACGTAAGATTGATATTAAAGAAAATTCAAAATATGCCTTTGGCATTCTTATCCTGACACAGTTCACTGACTAAACGAATAATTACTTACTTCTTACAAGTTAAATTAGCCGCATTTTACTATTTTAACTTCCAAACCATCAAATTCAATTTAGGAACTTGCGTAAATTCCAACCAGCTGTTATTGATCAGCTGTTTTCTTGTTGGCAAATTTCTCTTAGCAAAAATTTTTACAGCAGAAACTAGCTCAAAATGAAATGTCATTTTGCTCTCTCGATTTCCCCTACTTTGTAAGTTTTTTGTGTACGCGAACACAAATAGCTGATAGTTTCTATAACTTTCAATAATTATCAGGTACGCGAATGCAACTAATTGTGAACGGTGTTTTGACTTTACGATTTTCATTGTAGAGTAGAAAGACTCACAGTTATACGTTGTATGAAAAATTGAAAATACACGGCACGCAGCTATTTTCAACAGCAGATATTTTAAATCTGGTACTTGTTGCCGGTTTTATGAAGTATGCAAACGTATATTTAAATAATTTCAAATCGGCGAGTCTTTTTTCAAAATCTGCTTTAAAATATTGTGCAATATTCTTTTCTAGGCGTGGAAAATGATGAAATATTCTTTTTTTGAAATCATGAATAAAAAGACGTAGTTTAGTTTCAAAACTTAAAATAATTTGCGACAAATCAAAAACATTTTTATTCTCACCTTGTAGAGGCAAATTCAAGTTTTGCGAATGTTGCATCATATCAGTAAAGTCCGTTAAGTCAGAAAGCCAATTTTCAATCCCCAATTGCGGGTAATGTTCCGATCTCAATTTGCAGATATGTGAATAAAAAGAATAAAATAAAAAAACCAACCAAAATTTTTACCTTATATATAAACGACCTACCAACAACTATTACCAATATGAACTCCCATTTGCACGCCGATGAAG